GTAATTAATTGATAACTAGAATTTCAGGCAGGAAAGTATTTTTAGACAATTTCCCATTGGAGAGGAAATCACAGATTCCTTTTAAAGAGCATATTGGTATCCTTAGAAGCTAAAAGTAAAAGAAATGGTAAAAGTGGTCCATCTGCATGATATATTATTAAATCCCTAGGAATAATTAATTCTTATGTATTGGTTAAAATCCCTTTCACAGAGAAATTGGGATAGTAGAGTGGCTAAGAGAGAAACTCGGGGCCAGACCATCTGGTCTCATAGGTAAATTAGGTAAGTTCTGTGGGCCTCAGCTTCCCTATCTGTAAAATGGAGCTCATCTCAGAACCAGTCACATAGGGTTGTGGTGGGAATTATGTGAGAGCATCCTGATTCTCCACGTGTCGGTAAAAGATGTTTTAATAACTATTAGTATGTATTAAACATCTCTGATGGGAGTAACTTTGATCGAATGATAATTATTTTTTACAAGACCTTTCTGGAAAATAACCAATTCACATTTGACCTTGTTGATGAAATAAATGAGTTCGAGGAATTAACGGATTACCTGTAAGAGTCTCTGTTGCTGATAGTGTCATGACCTGAATCTTCCTGCTCATCTCCGGCCACATTAAAACAGACTCGTTTGCTATTTCTTTCCCCCTTCTCATTGTCGCTGTCTGTTGGCACTAGGCATTCGGATGTCTTCCGTTCTAACTTAGGAGAAGATGTTATCGAAGACAGGAGGCTGTATTGTGATATAAAAAAAGAATAAGTGCACACTTTCAAACTGGCTGCTTACTGGTTGATATGATGGGCTTTCAAAATATGTCTAGAGTGCATCTGTCTAGAGTGCAGGAGGTAAATACCCTACCGCATCAAAACCCTGTCGTACGAAGTTTACCTTTTCCTCTCAGAGTAAATAATAGGAACCCAATTTAGACTAGAAAGCTGTGTCCAAATCCTGGTTCTCCAAATTATGAGCTTTGTTATCAGAGCAAAATGATGACAGTCTCTTTGACACCCATGAGATGGGAATAATACGAATGACTAACCCACAGGATCGCTGTGAGAGTGAAAAGAGATCGACACATTCCTGGTGAATCCTGGGCACCACCTCTGTCCTGGACATCAGCCACTAGCACCGCCATGTAAAAATACGTGGGAAACTTAAAGGGCTACCCAGATATCAAAACAAACACTGAAGGTGCTTAGATATCCTCACTGGCTTACCCTCAGCTATGAAAAAGCCACCTACCCACCTGGCCTGTCTTAGTTACCTCCCAGGCTTTCTCCATTTGTCAATCCTTTCTTACTGCTCAGACTCACAGGAAGGTCCTGGGCCCTGTGATTGTAAGATGCTAAACAGAGCCACACACAAGGGGAGAATAGGAAGCCAGCAGTTGCTACTCCCACATCATCTGCAATCCGTCAGGATGAAATGTCACAAATCTTTCAAACTGGCTCAAGGCTAAAATGCCACCTCAGATGCTGAACTGGTGTGAAAATTGATCTTGGACTTTGACAAGCACTGACTCCACCACTCTAGCCTTGAATGTTGGGCTGTAAAATGTATCTGTTAAAACTAACTCAAAAATATGCGAAAATGAAATTGGTCTTTACTATCAAACAACATGCTATAAACTTGAATTAAGTCACATCTGAATAAAGGGACCCATGTTTGGCTTCTCCAGGCAACCATTATCTTCTCATTTATCAAATAGCAATGACACTCTGTTCTATCAATAGCAAATGTACATATCTTTGTTTTCAATCCTCACCTAAGGATAAGTTTATTGATTTTAGAAAGAGAGGGAGAAAAGAAGAGAGAGAGAGAGAGAGAGAGAGAGAGAGAGAGAAAGAG